AAAATGTTTCCCCAAGAGTTTTTGAAATTCTTTGATCGATTTTTACAATAATTTACAATAATTTACCTTTTTTGTATTATTTATACTTCACCAAAATTTAATTGCAATAAATTAATTTGTGAAAAATACAGAATCAATTTTAAAATTTAGTGATATTTCAACAGTTGAAAATTCAATGCTTGCTTCTATATTGGAATGAAATTGACATTTGAAATTATCTCATTCAATAGGGAACAGGACAAAATGAAGCATTAAACAAAAAAAAAATTTTTTAGAATGGGATAAGGATGATTGAAAACTAACTATATTAAGTGACTTTATTCCATTAATAAGATTTTGTAAAATATCTAAAGGAAATTTCTATGGAAAAGTAAATGCAAACTTTTTTTTAATTTTTGATAAAAATATATACAACAAACTTCTTCAATATTATTTTACTGATAATTCCTCAAAATGGTCATTAAATTCAATCTCAAAATCTTTAATAATGATGAAAATATATATCATATGACTTTTAAATTGATTATTTGTGGATCTCAAGATGGCTTTTCCAAGGTCAGTTTTTAAGAAGAGATGTAACAACATTAGTATTAATGAAATTAAAGAAATAGATGAATCAGTAGGTGGTTATAATCCTGTTTGTTGGAATATAAAAGAAATGTCTTCAGGCGAGAGATATTGGATCAAAACAGGTCAAAATTTTATTTTTAAAATTGATGAAATCAACTAAATAACTCAATGTTAAGTAGAGTCAAATACTTGAATGTGCATTATTTCATCATAGTCAAACTTCTGATATTACTTTAGATAATACGAAATTTCAGTCATTTAAGATTATATAACAATGCTAATAATAAATATTATTGTCTATGAAAATAAACTGCGTCTTATAAATAATAATAAGCATATTCGTTTATATAAATTAGCAAGAAAAAATCAATGACTTATTATTGTTATAAATTAGGATTTTAAAACTAATTTTCATATTTAATAAATTTAGCAAACAAATTTTTTTAACTATAATTATTGCAAATATCGATTAATTGATAGCATATATAATTCTATCTAAAGAAAAGTATTAAGACACCTATTTAAGTTAATTGCTCGAAAACTCACATGAGATCGATTTCCGTTTGTACCTTTCTTATATCAATACTTTTAAAAAAGAAAAATACTAAAACCCTTCATGGCCTTAAATAAAATCAACTGTACCAGAAAAGTAACCTTGCCTACGATCAATACCATCATACCAAATTGAAGGTCGTAAATTAAACACACATTGATATATTGGATCGTCTGAAAATATGCAAGGAAGAAACTAGTGATGGTATTTGAAATATTTTGATTTTACACGGCCGTTTTTTCATATAATTTCTTATGAGGAAGAGGCTTGCACTATTTTTTTTTGTTCTGTGGTAAATTACAATCGCTCACCCATCCTATTCTTGTTTGTTAGCGGCTGTTCCAATGTAATTGAAAGAGCATGAACAATACAATATATTATTATATAAATAATAATTAATTATGGTGGCAAAAATATGAAAGTGATGGTCACGAGGTAACAAGTGTTTGATTATTTGATTGGATTGTTGTCTTTTTTAGTAGTGATGAATGAATTGTGAAAATTTTGTTTGTTTGCTAGGATTATCCTCGGGAACAAACGTGTACAAATTATATTATATCGTATTTCTTTTTTTTTTCTTTGTTAGCTTCGTGAATAAAATAAAAAAAATAGTAGCGAGAAAGAACTTGTTTATACACCATATGAATTTTGAAAGACATGAAAACACCATAAGATAACCGAAAAGCGCCAAAAGCAAATAATGAAGCAACTTATTAACTTTTTTGTATAATAAATAATAAATTTAGAAACAGGTATATTCTCGATATAAAGAAGTAGTCGATATATGGTCATATGATTTTATTATTTTCACGCGATATTAATAGTTGAACAATTGTTTCGCGTAATAAAATATGCAATAAGAAATCTTTGTGCTGTTCAAAGTAAGGGGTATGTTCATTAAACCTCTTTTTGAATATTCAATACTCTAGTTGTAATCCAATGTATTACAAATAATAATAAATATATACGAATAATCAAATTGTATTACGAATAACAAATAATCATAATAATAAATATTACAGATTATCGTAACTATTGTAGAAATTGAACTTTGAAGATGTTGTGCCAGCCAACACATGTTCTGTTATGTGACATTTTAGAAAATGACTGTTGTTATCTAAAAAAATCATTCGAGTATAAGCGTACTATTACTCTCCAATAAATGGTTGGAACACCAAAAATTTTAAATAATAAATAATCATTTCTGTCATTATCATTATTAGCGAAAAATACTTTTACTTTGCATTCAACTCCATCAGGTTGTTCAATAACGAGAATCGTGTAACATCAAAATGACCAAACCAATTGTGAATGGCATTATTATTTGTTTGTTTATTTATTAACCAATAAATAAATAAAATCTTATTATTATAATGGGAAAAACGCAAATGTAAGTGCGTTCTCCAATTTCAGGATGTGTCTTTAAAGATCTTTTTTTGGTAAATTTCAATTTTTAGGTGTTGTATAAAATGTTCTAGTTCTCTAGTTCTAGATGAGACGAGACGAAATGAGCAAAAATGATTTATTAAACTTGATGATGTAACATATGACACAATGAGTCAAGCCGTTTCACTGGATAAATTTACACAATCCTGAACTTTTGATTATTCCCAATTGAAAATCTCTAAAGAAGCTTTAGAAAAACATAACAGACTAGAAACTATGAATCGTAATGGATCGAGGTAACCATTATAAAATGGTCCTTTCCATAATAACCAAGTAAAAAAAGGATACATGTATTTTTATTTTTTTAATCTTGGGTTAAGATATCTTTTAAATTTATGTTATTCGTAATTTTAACTTTTGTAGTTCTTTTATCATTAGTATTATTAATATTGAATTCTAAGAGCATAATGAAAATAATGAGAATCAAATTTTCTTTTTTACATATATATTAATATCAACTCATAATTATTCATTTGGGAGAAATATTTTTTACAACCTAAACTTGACATCATTTGTTTTTGGTAATTTGCGGCCAAGTGGACCCCGGAATAAATGAACATGTATACATACATACGGAGACATTGATACATTATTTTTTAAGAAACACTGTATATGTTTGCCGTAATTATCTCTCTTGTAATAATAATAATAAATGGCCCCGAAATTCCAAAATTAATTTAATAGTAATATTTATATGAAAACCGAAATGATTATCATAATTACTTTTTTTCCGACAAACAACTATGAAAAATTCAAAACATGGTGGTGCTTTTAAGCAAAGAATTTATTAAATTTACCATCTTCATCAAAATAAATATTGAAATACTTTCACAATCAATTAAAGAATACAAATTTTCCACCTCTACCACTTCTTCATCACGAACAATATCAATCCTAAATATATTCGAAAATTTTGACGATCCGGTCAAAAATTTGGCTGTTCAAAATTTTTGCCGTTAAAAACTCAACCTATATGTAAAATCAGGGCTGGCAATATAAAGGGTTAAAACCTAATTTAATAATGATCATCTTGACTAAACTTGACTTAACATATGACTAAATAGTTTAGTCAGTTTAGTCAAATGTTCATTTGAGTTACGCAGCCAGCCTTGATGTGAATATTTCAAAACGGCGTTTTCTTTGAAATCTGTTTTTAGTTGTCAAGAAGGAGTATAATGCAATGATTTTTATAATTATACCAGGGACGATGATTTTCTGCGGTTATGATCGACACAAAATTTGCATAAAAATAGAAGTTTTGGCCAGAATTACATTAAATCTAAAGTCAGCTACGTATAATCAATTAATTGCCAACAATAAAATTTTAAAAAAGTTATCCGATAAGTTTTATTGTTCATGACTCAAGCTTTAAAACTTTATCGGCTAGCTTTTTCTTAAACTAAATTTGGCAGAACCTTAGCATTTGAAAATTCCAAATTTGTGTTATGCACTTAAAAAATTGAGACCAAGTAAATTCCGTGCAATAAAAATTTTTAGCCAACAAACCGGTTTTCGCTTTATAACGATGCAAAATTGGTTAACCAATCCATAAATAAAAATTATTTCATCGTCGAATTTTATTAATTATAATTTCCACTTTACTTGATAAACCGAACTAAAGTTTGATACAACATAATAAAAATGCAACTTTCTAAGCCGAATATTTGTGAAAACCAGTTGATGATCTTTAAAATTCGTCTTATAATGATAAAATTCGGTTTACTTCATACTTTCACAAATAAAATTTATTATTTTATTTGGACAATTAATAATAATAATAATAAAAATCGTTTTCCATAAACCGAATTTTGATAAGTCGATCCTATTTTTGTCGGTCCCCAAAAGTTCGGCTTATCGAGTTTGACTGTATTGCATTCCTGAGCATAACTCCCAAATTTAAAAAATCCATTTGGGACAAATTTTTTTATTGCATTAATTAACTCCCTTTTTTTAAAGCTGAGTTGAATGGTGGTAGTTTTTTTAAAAATCCAACATGTGGATCACATAATATTTCAAGATTTTTAACTTTTGATCCGCAATGTAGCTTTCCCGATGATCGCGGAACTATACTGATCTACACAATACAAGTTTTTTTCGTAATTCTGCGCGATTATGTTTAAAGTTAGTATTAATATTAGGTTCTGTATTTAGTGTGAGATTCTGCATTTTCTGCGGTTTTGCGCAAAATGCAGGAAATCATTGTCCCTTAATACCTATCTAACCAAATTTGTAAAGGCTCAAAAAGAAAGAAGGATCTATTTGTAAAATGCACCCGCGGATCATTGTTGTACAATACTTTTATTATATATATAATAAGTAGAACTGCCAATTAAGGTGTAACAAATGTAGATCTTGATTTCCATAGTAATAAAAATAAAAATCATATGAATGTAGAAGGGTGTTTTTAATTTCTCCGTTATTTTTTTTAATAATGTCTTTAATTACGAAATCAATCAAACCTAATAAACTTTTACTGGTATTCATACATGGTTTTAAAGGTGATGATACAACATTTCAGGTTGGTAACTATTTTTTTGAAAGCAATAATCATAATAATAGCAATAATGACAGTAACAACACCAATAATTATAATAAGAATCACAAGTATTATTGTTAATGTTGTTGTTGTGTTTTATAAAAACAGGAATTTCCAGAAAGGATACATAATACCCTAACAAGTTTCTATAGTGACATGGAAACTGAAACAATCATCTATCCAAGATATGAGACACGTGGAGATTTAAAGAAAGCTGTGGAGATTTTTTGTAATTGGTTGGAAGAAAGAGTAGAACTCGAGGAAGAAATGTTGACAGAAAAAGGAAGTTCAAATATTAAAGATGATTCTGATGATGATGATAAGGAAGTTGGTAATATATGGGTTGGTCTGATTGGGCATTCTATGGGTGGACTTTTAGGTAATATATGTGTTATTTGTGAATAAACTAGTTAGAGATTCGATAAAAAAATGAAAAGATTAATAAAATGCAATCTGTATATTAATATATAAATTTATGTTTACGATATTTAGGCGCTGATGCTATAATAAGATTTTCAAATCAATTAAAACAACCAAAAATAATTGGATTATTAACTTTTGATTCACCATTTTATGGAGTAAACAGCGATGTCTTCTCCAGAGCAGCATTAGAAAGAGTATCGGGAGTTACTACAAAACTTAAAGAAACATATTCAATATTTACAGCTACAAAAGAATTTGTTTCAACAGTTTCTGCCACAAAAGCAACTGCAGCTGCAGCTCTAGCTGCTTCTACTACCACAACTGCTTCAAAATCTGGCGGATTTGGTGGTTGGGGTATGGCATTAATTGGTGCAGCAGCTATCGGAGCAGGTGCTACAGCATATTTACATAAAGAAAAAGTTAGTAGCGGTATTGGATGGTTGGGAAGTCACTTAGAATTTGTTGGCGTATTAATAAACACAAAAGAACTCAAAGAAAGGTAATAAATATATATATTTTTTAATATGTAGATTATTGATTTTTATTAAAAGGAAAAGAATGAATACATTGAAAGAAGGATTAATATCTTTTTGTTGTTTTAATTTGTTTAGGGTTGAAACTTTAATAAATGTTCCAAGAGCTGGTTTTCATTGTTATTACACGCAGGTAAAATTGGTTTATTCTTCTTTTTTATTTTGATTTTTTTTTTACAGATATAAATAAATAACATCTAATGTTTAATTTAGATCGAGCCAAAAGCTTTTGGAGATATACCACGCACATTTATTGTTAAACCTCCAGAAGGAAAAAAGAAATATTTTTCACCTGCGTCATGTACATCAGCTGATGAAATAGATGCACATATTACAATGTTTGATCCTGTGCAAAATCAATATTTTTATGATCTTGCTCATGTATCCACAAAAAGATTGATTAATATGATAGATGGATATAAGAATAATTCATCATGTTAAATATAATTATAATAATGATATTTTAATTGTTTACATATTTTAAAATTGTTTATATATTAATAAATTATTTATTATTTATTTTATTTAGAATTTATAAATAAGGTTGAGTTGTCCATAATGATAAGAAATTTTGTAATTGATGATCTGTCAGTGTAATATAATCATTTTTTAATGATAAGATCGTAGTTTCCTATTTTATTTAGATGTTTAGTATTTAATTAATATTTTAAGGTAATGAATAAATAAATCCATTCTTTATTACTTTTAGCATTAATTCTTGATTAAAATTTTCCAAAGAACTCGCCAAGTGTTCAACTAATTGTGGAATGGATTTAGTTATTATCTGAGCATTTTTTGTTGAAAATGACGACGATGACGATAACGATGATGAAAAAGTGTTGGATGTTATTTTGTTATTATTATCTGTTGATATGTGAATCTCTTTCATCAATAACTTTAAATAATAATAAAAATAATAAGTGAATGTCAACAAATCCCTTAATAACATGGTATTAATATATTCGAAATCTTTTTAACCTGAATATCATTTTCATCCATAAATTTATGATCTCTCAATAGATTCAAAGAATCCTCATAAATTTTATGCATATTATTTAGAATGTTTTTAACTTAATATCGTTTATAAAAAGAAATTAATATACATTAATATACATTAATATACATTAATATAAATGGATGATGAATGGAAAGAACAAGTATTAGGTATTATTGAAATTTTATTACAATTTTCTAATATTTCAAACAAGCTGGAAATTAAAATTTCTAATTATTGAAAAAAATAGATAAGTGTTATATCTTATGTAAGCGTTTATTACTACTTAATTACAAACCATTTTCTTTCGTGCAGAATTTATTAGCACAATCATTGATGAATGCTCCAAATTCTTCATGTGTCTTAATTATTTCTTGTAAAACAGTTTGTCCTGTTGAATTTAAATTATCCCATTCTGTAATTCTGGTAAATGGAAGTAGGAGTGATAAATTAATGGATATGGCAAAAAATAAATAATTTATAATAGTAATAATTACTTTTGTTGGAATTGGTTGAATGTAGAGACATAAATATTTTCAACAAAAATTTCAGTTGATTCATTTTTAGACATTTTCATAAATTATTTTTTAAAATAAATAAAATAAAAATTTTGATAATTTTACATTTTAGATTTTGTTCTATATAATATGAATTATCGACAACAAAACATGTATATGAATTGTACATCAATTAACATCAATTATCAGTGGAATACAATTGTTTGGCATCTTCATCTGTATATCCTAATAAATATAGCACATACTTTAAACTTCTTTGATTGATTCTAGTACTAGCCTATATTTTACAAAAATATAAATAAACAAACAATCAGTCGTGAATAATCTTTATTTTTATCATTAATTGATTGGTTGATTTGATTACCTTTTCTTGAACTCGTGGTTTTGCATTAAATGCAATACCTAAACCAGCTTTAGACAACATCCATAAGTCATTTGCACCATCACCAATAGCAATAACTTGATTCAACGCAACACCTTCAGCTTGAGCTATCACTTCCAATAATTCTGCCTTGCGTTGCCCATCAATTATCGGCCCAATTGTTTCACCAGTCAACGTTAAACCATCAGGTGATACTTTTAACTGTGTTAGAATGGTTGTTTATTTTAGTTTTTATTTTAAAAAAAATTTTTTTTTTATAATCCAACTAAAAGAAAATCTTACCTCGTTTGCAAAAGCATAATCTAATCCAAGTTCACTTTTTACATAATTTGCCAGTGGAATAAATCCTCCTTTCATAAATAAATAAATAATAGTTGAATGTGAATGAATGAATAAAGCTTATACAATCATAGATATAATTATAAAACAAAATACAAACCAGAAATTACAGCAAGTTTGAATCCTATTTTTTTTAGTATTTTACAAAGAAAATGTGCACCTTCTGTAAAAGTAAGATTTTTCTTGACAATCTCTATAACATCAACAGATGTTCCTTTTAATAATAAGACACGTCGTTTTAATGACTCCTTAAAATCAATTTCACCATTCATTGCCAATTCTGTTATTGCCTTAATAATATAATAATCGTAATAATAATTATTATACAAAATATTTACAAATAAGAACTATATGCATATATAAAACAACAAAAACATACTGCTACATCATTTACAACACCAGCCAGCCTAGCAATTTCATCAATTACTTCTTGTTGAATTAACGTAGAATCCATATCAAACACCACCAACCTTTTATGTCTTCTAAATATATCATAAGGTTGAAGCGCAACATCAGTGTAATAACTTCTACTTAATTGAAAAAGGTCTCGTCTCAATCTATCGAAATCAGTTTCTAAAGGTACCGAAAGTTTATAATCAGCACAAGATAACATTCTTCCTTCATTTAATCTTTGCATTTTTTCTACAGATATTTTCTCTCGTAGTAATAACTTTGTCCATTCATTCATAAATTTTGTTGCAAGTCCATTCTGATTTAGAATGGTTGCAGCATATTTAACTCGATTGCCATATGGAGCATCTTCCAATGATATTGGTGGTTTATCTTGATCACCAGAAAAATTTTGTAAATCGATAGCTAAACTAGCATCCCATTTTTTAGCTGCATCAGAAACATCATTAAATAATTCTTCTGCATTCTCACGTTTTAGAGTGGTCAGAACACTGAATGTGACATTATGGTAAAGTCTGGATAAATTGAAATCTTCAATTACATAATCATGTTTAGCCATGCATTCTAGTACACATCCAATTATATCGGTTCCATGTGAGCCTGTGATAGATATTAAAGCCTTTTGATCTTTTGATAAAGATGCCAGTGATGGAAATCTATTTTTTTGTATTGATGTATTTGTTGTAACGACACTATTATTGTCGTTATTTTTATTATCTAATAAAGAGTTTGGATTTCCTAGTTGATCCATAAATTAAAAAATTAGGGGTGCAAATAGCTAGGATTTTTTTGTCTTCAGATCATCTGGTACTACTTTTCAAATTTTATTACGTCAATTAGCTTTCCAAATTGCGCATTGTTTCCATTGGTTGGTTGGTCAATCACGAATGTCCACTACAACCAAAAAAAGCAACCCGACTAATACCCCACCATAGAGCATGGGGTTTGACAATGATGATATCTGGACCTGATCAGGTTGTTGGGATTGATCCTAGAAGAATCAGCTTATTTGGGGATAAAAAAGGAGATGAAATACAAAAGAATGGGTATGCAATGGCTGGATTCACAAGGGCATATTAAAAATAAATAAGTTTATATCGGTTTGTAGCTTGGGTTCTCAAGAAAATTGTAAATCACAAGGCGATCATTATTACAAACAGGATGGTAATGTTGTGCTGGGAAGGCAAGAGATTTGGTCAAAGAAAGGATTTCTTTGAAATTACTTGAAAAGTTGGTTCTCACCACAGATTGGTGGCCGTGATTGCGGTTATTAAACAAACAAGTACTTTTTTATAAAATCGTCAGGAATGTTTTGGCTGTACGTAATAAACCGTTGACGAGTCTAGTGTTCCCACTCAATCCACCATGGGTTTGGCAGCCACAATCACAATTATAGACAGACAAGCAACTCTTATATAGGGCCAATCCCATTCGTGTATTACCAATAATAATTTATTACTTGTCTCAAAAAGGAAAAAATCAGGTTTTATCTTTATAAAATTTTTTTAAAGGACATTAAAAATGTCACATAATAGATTACTATCACCAGAAAGAAAGGTACTCGCATTTAAAATTTATAATGAAATATATAATATTACAGTAGCTAATCCTGATAAAGAAAGTAGAAAAGATTATTTTTTTTTTTCATTAGTTGAGAGAAACAAGGAACTTTTTTGAAAATGAAAAAAAAATTTTGTAAAGTTTATTTATTATTTTGAATTAAAGAATGCAATTTACAAATCAGGCCAACCAAAAAAATGTAACAGGTGTAAATTGACAAAATACTCGGATAGATTCTGTGAAGGTTGTACTAGTTCACAATTGCAGAGTCTTTTCAATAGTTTGTCATCTGGAAATGACATAGTTAATAACTTTATTCAACAATCTCAAATGGAGTCATCTTTGCCAGACCATATTTTAGAATGGATACCTTTTGAGCAATTTGAAAAAGTAAACAAAGTTAACTGAAGGTGGATTTAGTTCAATTTATACTGCTACATGGAAAAGAGGAAATATAATTGATTACAATAAAGAGGAAAAAGAATTTATTTATTTTGGTGAACAATCTGTAGTATTAAAAAGTTTAAATAATTCAAGTAATCCAGGAAGAGGTTTTTTTGATGAGGTTGGTAGCTTTTATTTAAAATAAAATAAATAATGCTGTGTTGTATATATAATACTAATAGATTTTATATTTAATTGTTACTTGCTATGGTATAACTAAATTTTCAGATAATAGAGATTATATGATAGTCTTAAATTATTTATCAGAAGGAGATTTAAGAGGTTATTTACAAAAAAATCATTTTATTTTGACATTTAAAAATATAATTCAATTTTTAGATGGTTATGTGTTGCATTATATTATATGCATGTAAAAAATTTAATTCATTGTGATTCACATAGTGGTAATACATTAACACATGGAGGTACTTGTTATATTGCAGATTTGGGATTATGTGGACCAGTTGATGAAAAATCATCAAATAAAATCTATGTAATTGTATCATACCTTGCACCTGAGCTACTTAGAGGCACAAATAATACAAAGAATACAAAAGAAACAGATATTTACAGTATTGGGATGCTAATGTGGGAAACATTTGCAGGACATCCACCGTTTGACAATAGAGCTCATGATCATCATTTAATTTTTGATATATGTGAAGGTTTACGACCACCAATATCACCTGAAATGACTGATGAATATGTACAAATGATGCAGAAGTGTTGGGATATGGATCCATCAAAAAGACCAACTATTAGAGAGCTTTTGAACTTTGCTTATAATAAACATCAAGAAATTCTTAATAATGGTGATGATGATGATGATGATAATCATAGTAATATTAGCAGTAGTAGTAATGGTTTGCAGCAAGTACACAAATCACATCCAGATGCATATCATACAAGTAGAATATTAGATGATGAAATTACTAAATCTAAAAACTTAAAATATTATACAAGTAATGATGGTAGTTCATTAAATCTTGGTTTTAACTCTTTTCACTTAAATTAATTTTTCATTACAAATTGATCGGGAATTACCGCTTATTAATTATTGCTAATAATTTTTTTTTTTAAACCTATACTATATGTAGCTTAGGTTTAGATAAATATTCATGTAAACTTTTTATGTTTCAAAACTCGAAAATGATTTTTATTAAACTTCATGTATGAAAATCTAGATTTGTGCAATATGATTTTATAGAGTATTTTCGTTTAGAAATATGAGTCATCGCTAATATATACAAGGGAAAATTTCCAATTAAAACACAATCGAAATTATTTTCAATTTTCTTAACCTTGTAATAATAAATGGGAGACAGTACAAAAGGATAATAATCAGAGGTAATTAGACTAAATCTTTTTTTGTTTGATTTTATTATATTATTATATCTAATTAACGTATCTATATTTATTCTAGCTGTGCCTACAAGACGATGGCGAAGTCTTTGCTTGAAAATAAGCAGTTTACTTATAACAAAGTTTTTTGTCAAATCACAGGCGGCTCAAGAAGGACAGTCATTTCATATGGTGATAGATGCTTTTCCCCTCGTTCAATATTTTGCATCAAGGCCGATAAATAAAATTTGTAATGAGTTTATCGATTATAAGTTAATCTTATTTGATATATTGATAAGTTTTTTCTTGGCATAAATGCTTCATAGTTGGTCAGTAAAGGATCACCAAATTTTGAGTAAAAAAATTTTTTTTTTAAAAAAAAAAAGAATGGAACCAATTTATGAAAAAACATGTACTTCTCCAGTTAACATTGCTGTAAGTTTAATTGTTTTGAAAGTAATAAAAAAAAAATCACATCAATTAATAACAAATCAATGATGTAATAAACTAATAATAATAAAAAATAAAGGTGATAAAATATTGGGGAAAACGTGATTCAAAACTTATATTACCTACAAATTCATCATTATCGGTGACGTTATCCCAAGACCAATTACAAAGTAAAACTACAATTCGTGCTTCGCCAACTTTTAAGAAAACAAGATTATGGCTTAATGGTGTTGAACAAGATACAACAAACAATAAACGGTTACAAAATTGTTTGAGAGAAACTAGAAATTTGCGTAAAGAGCATGAGGAGAAGTGTAAGAAGGAGGAGGGGAAGGATGTTAATGTTGTACCTTTATCAGAATATAATTTACATATATGTTCCGAAAATAATTTTCCTACTGCAGCGGGATTAGCATCCTCGGCATCAGGATTTGCATGTTTGGTATATACTTTAGCCAGTTTATATGACTTGATTGACTTACAACAGCAACAGCAACAGCAACAAAAAAGTTCCGAAGAATTATCAAAGGTTGCAAGACAAGGATCTGGGTCAGCTTGTCGTTCATTATTTGGAGGATTTGTTGCTTGGGAGATGGGTAGTAGGGATGACGGGAGTGATAGTTGTGCTAAACAAGTAGCCAGCGAGATGGATTGGCCAGAGTTAGAAATTTTGGTTTGTGTGGTTAGTGATGCGAAAAAAGGCACCAGTAGTACAGAAGGAATGCAAACCACCGTCAACACCTCGACACTTTTGCAACATCGAATCAACCAGGTGGTACCTGAACGCATGAACTCGATGATCAAAGCAATCTCAAATAAGGATTTCAACAAATTTGCAGAACTTACCATGAAAGATTCTAATCAGTTCCATGCAGTATGTTTGGACACATTCCCGCCAATATTTTATCTTAATGATATATCACGTGCCATCATACAATTAATCACTGAATATAATAATAGTAGTGGAAGCGGTGATGGAGACGTTAATTACAAAGCAGCTTATACATTTGACGCAGGACCAAACGCGGTTATATACACGCTTAAAAAACATGTTCCAGAATTAATTAATCTCATTTCAAAATATTTCCCTAGCATTAGTGTTAGTAGTGGTGATGATAGTAGTAATGAAGATAAGGAAGATTTTTTTAATGATCCATTTAATTTATTTCCAGATAGATCAACAATTGGCAAGCAATCATTGCCGTTAAATTTCAACGAAAAGGTTATTCCTATATTTCCAAAAGGTAGTATAAAACAAATCATACATACTAAAGTTGGTGATGGACCAAGAATCATATTTAATGATAACGAATCACTATTGAATTCTGAAGGATTTCCAAAGAGATTCAATAACTAATTTAATAATTAATCAATTCTTTAGTTAGTTTTATTATGTTGTTATTATTATTATAATTAATAAAATAAATTATTTATTTAAATAATTTCATTTGACTTCTTTGCACTATGCCTTGCAATTATATATATATATAATTCATTATAAATATCAAAACCAAATTCAAGGGTTTTAATCTCGAACGACATATTGTGTGTTTATGATTATAAGTGTGTATATGTATATATATAATGATTTTATTAAAGTTTTTTTCCGTGTTGTTATTGTTTGTTGCTATTATTATTATTATTATACTTTTGTCTTTCTAAATTTTCATCAATATACAAAAATTAATAATTATTTTAAAATAAAAATTTAGAAAAAAATTACAAAAAAAAATAAGAAAAGCCCTTTTTTTTGACCAAAAATAACAAAAAATATTTTTCCAATAATTCCAATTAAAAAAAAATAATAATAAATATAATATAAATATCAAACAGATTCAATTAAATATAAAAGATGAAGAAACAAAAAATTCTAAATTAAATTAAATGTTAATTAGAAAAATAAAATTAAAACAATTCAATTCAAAATAAATATATAAAAATAAATATATATAAAAAACAAATATCAATAAATAAATTTAAAAATTGAAAACTAAAAAACTAATTAAAAAATGTATAAAAGTTATTTATTAATAATTATTTTTGAATTATTTTATTCTTATTGTCTCTAAATTAAAAATATGGCTAATAAAACAATGACTATAATGGTAACACCTGTTGAACTATAAAAGGTAGCTTTTCTACACCTACTTCTCCATTTATAATCTTCAGGAGTTGCAGGAGTTGCAGATTTGGGAAGATAGAAAGAACCGAGCCACCATAAAGGAAAAATCAAAAAGCCTGACCAAAATAAATATTTAGATATTATTGTTGCATCTTCATTATTGGTTATTATTTCATTGTCATTATTATCAGGTTTAACATTAATAGTTTCATGTGATTTTTCAGAGAATTCAGTTGATAATACGATAGATTCTAAATCAGTTGATTTCTTGTTTGTTGCATCGTAAGGTGATAAACTGTTGTTGTTATTAATATTTGATTCAATATCTCTATTGTAATAATGTCTTGTAACAGTTTCACCTTCTATGACTTTAGCTAGATAAGTAGAGGGAGTCACTGTTTCTGAAGTTATATTAGAATTAGTATCATCGTCACCATCACCATCAATTGTAATCTTCATGTGATTTATCACTTCTTCTCCATCCTCGTCGTCACTTTCATTATCACTAACGTCTTCCGGATTACCCGATAATATTGATTGTATCGATTGTAAAGAAAATGGACGACCGGTAGAACGCAATCTGATGCTAGGAGCATCACTATATCTAATAGATTTTTTGTCGTTTTCAGTATTATTGCCATCATCTTTTGAATGAGCTTTTGGTGGTGGTGAAGGAAGTGATGTTTCATAAATATTGCTACCTATAGTTCTATCACTGCCATTATTGCTATTATTATCATCATTAGTATTATTGTTGTTGTTTTCAAGATTTAATTTAATATCTATTTCCAAATTTTTGGTTTCACTCAACCAATCCAATACCGAAGGCTCAAACCAATCCGACCATTTTTTTGTTAATTCTGACATATCAATCACTGGTAAACTCTTTTCGGTCTTTTCAGTCTCACCAACACCACGAAGACTGCTATGTCTAATAAGGGTATTATTATTATTTTTATATGCTGGTAAGCTTCTTCTATCTCTAATAACAGTCTTTGGTAGACTTATAGTATGAAATTTATTATAAATATTAAGATTGTAATTGTTTTTATCGGTTAATGACGATGAAGAATTATTATTATCTTTGTTGTTATTATTATTATTACTATTATTATCGTTGTTGTCGTTGTCAATGTCAATTTCTTCTTCTTCTTCTTCTATAGCAAAAACACTTTGTTTATCATCATTATTACCATTAATACTATAAAATCCAGAATCGATAGTTCCACCAGGTGAAGGAGGAGAATTAATTATTTTATAATTTTTTGAAAGATTTTCGGACAAATATACTGAGTGTGGACGTGTTTGAATACTATTATTATTGTATGATGGAATGTGTAATGGTGGGAGAATGAAGGAATGTAGAAGAATGGGGGAGAATGGATGTGAAGGGGTGGGAGAATGTTGAAAATGGTGGAATTGTAGAATAATTAAAAATTAATTTAAAGAAAAAAAATATTAATAAATTAAATTAAAATTTAAATTAATTAAATTTAATTAAAATAATAACACAAGATAAATTAATGATTAACATACCGCATTTTTATTATTATTTTTTTCTTTACTTTTTATAATTCGTTGTAGTTGTTAGTTTATTCTTCCTTTGCAATTAATTATTAATCCCTATCAATTATTACTATGTTATATATCAAAATTCCTTCCTGAGAAATTAGTTTTAATAAAGTAAATAGAAAAATTTGATAATTAAATTAATATAAATAGTATGTGATATGTGTGTGTGTAATGGACAATATTGAATTAATTATGTAAAGAATAACAATTAAATAAATGCTATCATATAATAAGTTTAGAAAAAGATAAAGTAATTGAAGGTAAGAAAATTGGTAATGATGAATGAAAAAAAATAAAAGATGAAAAGTGAGAATGAAAGATGAAAAATGTAAAGTGAAAAAAAAAATGTAAATATGAAAAAACGTTAAATGTAAAAATGAAGATTAATATAACTATAATAACTATGACAATTATGATGACAATGACAATGATAATGACAAATATAATAAATAATATACAAATAATAATAATAAGAATATGTATAATTTATGTAAGTGTATATATGATGATATAATAAAAGTTTTGAAAAAAAAAAAATTTCGAGAAAAAAAAAAGAAAAAAGGAATAAAAATTTTTTTTTGGTTTCTTACCAATTCAAAGACAACTTATATATATATATTTATGTACGTATATTATGAAACTTTTTACAGATTAAAGTTTAAGTAAAAGTTTGACAAAAATTAAATGTTTTTGTTGAGGAAAATACTACGAGAGGAATATAAAAAACGAACGCCAAATTATACTTTTGAAGGACCCTTTTTAATGATTCTAATAAATGTTAAAGTTTAAATTATAAGGTGTTTTCAATTAATAATGTTCATTATTATTAAATTAAATTAAATTAAATAAATTAATTAAATGATAAATTGAATTAAAAGTAGAAAAAGAAAAGGGTATTCCAAGTATATTTATATTAAAGAGGCAAAAAATAATAATAAAAATTCGTTTAAACCACAAAAAGAAATTCCAGATCAACGACTTACATATATACTTTTTTTTTCCCTTTTTATTGTTTATAGTAGACAAAATAATTTATTTATATATATTTATATTACTGTGGAATTGTTACATCACCTTTTTTACGAATTAAAAAATTTGTAGATTGATCGATTATTGAAATTGGAATTGAAATTGTTGAAAAACGGAGGATTGCGATTGGTGTTTAATTTTTATATTTTTTGAGATTGTAACTGAATTTGAATTTGATTTTGTGGTTGAAATTGGAAGTTGAAATTTGAGGCTGAAATTAAAAAACCTTCCTTACTTTTTTCTTTTTTACTTGAAATAAAATAAAATATAACTTGGGTTAACAAACTGTTAGTGTAACCTTATGGTTTGATCAGTTTTAGGCATTAATATTAATGACTCGTTACATTATAAACATAAATAATAATAATGAATAAATAAAACATTGTTAATTTAACTTTTCGACCTTATTTAGAAATGTTAACGAGTCCTAATCAAGTTTTTTTTTTGATAACTAATAATTTAATTTAATCGCCATTGGCTAACATAGCTGACTAGCTATCGCTATTAATTTTGTGTAATCACGTGCAAATTGCCTACACATTAATATTTAAATATATAGTAATAATTAATAAGCATTCATGCAGTCAAAAATTTTGCATTAATGATAAACGTCTAAACATAAATATATATAATAAACAATTACGAGTTTTTACTTTAATTGGGTAATTCATGTGGGCATAGTTAATTCAATCTATAAAACCCAAGAATATTAATATGAATTAGATAGTAATTTTTTATCTTTATTGGAATTTATAGGTTTGGGGACATTTGGGAATTTTAATAATTTGCTAGTTTAAATAGCATTTGAATAATTATTTTCAAAATTCAATCATACTAAAATCTCTCCAGCAGATGGACGCTTGTATGCTAATTCAATCTAAAACTTAAGATTATTGTCCGAGAATCCAGATCTTGCAAGACTTAGGTCATGTGCTAAATTACTAAAAGGCTGTTGACCAGTTGATACTACAGACACACATATATATATTATATCTAATGCCATTGTACTGTACATGGTTTATCTCTTAATAATTCCGGTGCATAATATGGCAACAAATATATATATATATGATAAATCCTAAATATGCAATATTGTCATTATGAACTATATATTTTTTTTTATGAATACTTTTTAAACCATTAATCATTCAATAAAGAATCACAATTTTGTTCTCCCATTGGTAATTGTTAAAATCTTTTGCAAGTAATTTTGAAACTTCCATCTTTTATATGAATCCATCTCAAATAATAATTTACCCCATCAAGAAATTCATTACAATATTTTCACCGCTTAACAAAGTAGCTTTGCAAATTGTTGCAAGGTCGCCTTCGCCTATCTTTTCAATATTTATTAAATAATCTACTGAAGATACCATATCCTGTTGCTTCATATTGTGTATATCATCTGTTGTTTCACTGACACTAGTCCATCATCCTTCAATTAACAACTGTGTATAACTTGATCTACACTATGAATAATTAGTAATATATCTATCGCAAGTTGGACATTTTGCCATATATTTTTTTCTTTCATTTTTGAATATTCTTGATTTTATCCATTCTTTTTTATAAAATACAATTTTTTTTTTAGACTAAAGTAAAAGAATAATGAATCTTTTGAAATTTAGCCGCAAATGATTAAATGTTACATATTTTCACAAAATAAATTGAATAATAATTTTTTTCTAGCTCTCTTTCCTTTGTTTCAGATGGTGGCGATCCTTTCTATTCAATTTTTTCTTGAATGGTTGTTGTAATTCGTCTAGCATTTGTTCCAACCATTTTGAGTAGCGTCGGGAAGTCAAACAAATTAAAGTACAGAATATACAAATTCAAAGTCACTTAGTCCCGCAACTTTTTATTGGTCTTGTAGATCCTCCGAAAATGGGAATGTAACACCAAAAATAATTGTGTTTTTGCCAAGACCTTCTTTTCTCTATATACAAAGTTACGATTTCATTTTGTTGTTATGTCATACATGCATGTTGTGGAGGAGGATTTGGGCACGAGTTTACTATGTTCAGCCCTAAAATTAACAAATAAGTTAATATCAAAAATAAACGAATTGAAACAAATAAAAATTTGATTTTTTTCGCTCATATCACAAGTTCTTTTATCACGTGAACTGCCAAATGCAACGTTAAATTCATTTATTGAAATAGACCTGCTATCACCAAAAATATATTTCAGAAATACATTTCATTCTATTGCTAATGTCAATATTTTAAATTTTTAACTAGTAACAAATGGTATATATATATACTAGAAAATATCACACGACCAAACAATGCATTTTTTGGAGATTTTCCCTCAAAATTGGCGATGTGGCGCAAAAAGTTGTGACTTTTGCACTTGTAGTATCTTTGGACAATTGATGAAAAGAACCAATTTGGAATGATTTTCCTAATGGAAAAAAAATTTAAAAATGTCATTGAGTGGATTATTTGCAATTAATAAACCAACAGGTAGAACTTCAACCTTTTACTTGAATGGGATTAAAAGAAATTTTTTTAAAGAAGGACAAAAGTTAGACAGTACTAGAAATAAAAAGAAAGGTATAAAAATAGGGCATGGTGGAACCTTAGATCCATTAGCTTCAGGTGTTTTAGTAATTGGAATTAATGATGGTTGTAAGAGTTTGAGTAAATTTTACGGTTGTGATAAAGTCTATAGCGCAACAGGATTATTTGGCTTTGCTACTGACACTTATGATTGTCAAGGAGAAGTTATAAAAGAAGCATCAGCTGATCATATTACCAAGGAGAATCTAATTCAAGCAATATCAAAATTTCAAGGTGAAATCAAACAACTTCCACCTTTGTAAGATATAAATATTTTTAAAAATAATGATAATAATGATGATGATAATAATAATAATAATAAATCCTAGACTAGAACAAAATAGATCAATTATTTAAACAACCTAATAATATTATGCATTTATATTATTATTTTTTGGGAATTGAAAAATAAAAGATATTCTGCATTAAAAATGGATGGACGTAGGTTATACGATTATGCACGTAAAGGTCAATCACTTCCACGAGAAATAGAACCTCGGCCAATAACAATTCATTCCATATCCCTATTAGAGTTTACCACAGATCAAATCCCAACTCCAACTACCTCTCTACTACAATTAAAGTCATCACCATTACCATCACCGTCATTAAAACATCCAATCTTTAAGATTCACATAAGTTGCAGTGGTGGGACCTACATTAGATCGTTGGTTCATGATATTGGAGAAGCACTTGGTAGCTGTGCGCATGTAATAGAATTGAAAAGAATTCAACAGGGTGAATTTCTACTTGGTAGAGATACCATTGAATGGGATGAGTGTTCTGACATTAATAATATTATTAAAATATTGAGAAATTGATTTTGAAATAAGATTAATAATAATTATTCATTCTAATGAATAATTTTAGCATAAAGTTTATAAATAAATATATTACATTTAAAGTCAAATATACGTTACCTGGAAGAAAGTGTCCATAACAAAAAAACTAAAGGATATATCATTTTGTAGACTATATTTTGTCACGATTAATTAAAATCACAATCACACTTAAAAGAACTTTAATTTTTGTTAAGAAAGTAGCAAAGTTAGTTTTTGTCTGTCAACGAATTGTAACTAAACTTGTGTTAGAACAAATTTTCTTCACATAAAAAACAAAAATATAAAACTTGTAATTTTGGTATAATCCATGGATTCACTCATTCACAGATCGCAATTAATAATAAATTAGTCATGATAGAAAATCTTGAAACATTAAATTTGCATGAATATTTATGGGTTAAATAAATTAAATAAACTATTATTATTATTACAACATAAAACCTGCCAAACTGATGGTTTAAACCGATCCAATTCTCCAATTCATCAATATTTTAATCTCGATCTTTTCATTTAATGTTTATTAATTAATTAAACGTGAATAAAAATGATTATTAGTAATGACTATTGAGTAATAAATTCCAATTAATTAGTACATAATGAAAAATTAATTCACCTTTGTTTTAAGAGAAGAGAGTTAAAATCAAGATTTAATGAACTACTATCATTACTTGTATAAAATTTTAAGTTTTTAGATTTAGTAATTTCATCGTCTAATATTCTACTTGTATGATATGCTTCTGTATGTGATTTGTGTACTTGCTGCAAACCATTACTACTGCTGCTGCTGCAATCATTATTAAAATCAATTTTATTTTTTTAACTTTAGAAATTTGAAGAATCTTTTTATTAAACTACTGTTGTTGTTAATATTTTTCAAGCTTTCATTTTAGGAATTTTTTCATGTTTATTATAAGCAAAGTTCAAAAGCTCTCTAATAGTTGGTCTTTTTGATGGATCCATATCCCAACACTTCTGCATCATTTGCGCATAATCATCAGGAATTCCAGGTAATATTGGTGGTCGTGGATCTTCACATATATCAAAAATTAAATGACGATTATGAGTTCTATTGTCAAATGGTGGAAGACCTACAAATATTTCCCACATTAACATCCCAACATTGTAAACATCTGTTTCTTTTGTATTATTTTGTGTCTCTAAGTAGCTCAGGTGCAAGGTATGATACAATTCCATAGATTTTATTTGATGATTTTTCATCAACTGGTCCATATAACCCCAAATCTGTAATATTACTATTATGTAAATCACAATTGAATTAAATCTTTTTCATGTATATGATATAATGCAGTACATAACCATCTAAATATCACAATTCTATTTTTTAATGTCGATTTAGAATTAATTTTTTGTAAATATTCTCTTAAGTTTCCTTCCGATAAATAATTTAATTTTAAACAAGGGTAAACGACTGAAATAAAGTGAATAAAGAAACTTTATAGCATTGCAAAAGAGCTATCTTTATTTAATTACAGTTATCTGGTACCATTAAGTGTGCTCACAGATTCGTAATCGAAAACCAAAGTAAATTTGTAAACTAATTAATTGAATTATTAATTGACAAGAGTAGCCCAAAAGTTGAGCCATAATTGTTAATTAACCAAAATGATACCACCATTTAACAAGAATCAAAAAATTGTAAAAAGTTTATTATAGAAATATTATTACAAGAAACAAATAAGGATAAAATAAAATAGATAAATAAAAAGAAGATAATAAATTTATGGTGGTAATTAAATTAGTTATTCTTTGCTTTACTAGAGTTTAATTGATTAATTGATATTGTTAGTAATAATTAACAGATAGTAATTTCCAATTAATAATTGTTAACATTTTAGAGAAAAGAATTAAAATCAAGATCATTTAACGAACTATCATTACTTGTATAAATTTTAAAGTTTTTGGATTTAGCAATCTCTCTATCTAATATTCTACTTGTATTATATGCTTCTGGATGTGATTTGTGTGCTTGTTGCGAAGCATTACTACCACAATTAGTAATATTATTGCTATTATTATCATTAATAATTTCTTCAAGTTTATTTTTAGCAAAATCACGCAGCTCTCTACTAGTTGGTCTTTTTGGTGAATCCACATCCCAACACCTCTGCATCATTTGTATATAATCATCGGGCATTTCAGGTAATATTGGTGGTCGTAAACCTTCACATATATCAAGAATCAAATGATGATTGTGAGCTCTATCATCAAATGGTGGATGGCCTGCAAATATTTCCCACATTAACATCCCAACACTATAGATATCAGTTTCTTTGGTGTTCTTTTTGCCTCTAAGTAGCTCAGGTGCAACATATGATACAATTCCATAGACTTTATTTGATGACTTTTCATCAACTGGTCCACATAATCCCAAATCTGTAATATAACAACAACCTCCTTTCAATAATATATTGCCACTATGTAAATCACAATGGATTAAGTCTTTTTTATGTATATCATCTAATGCAGTACATAAATAATAAAAGGTTGTAATTCTGTCTTTTAATGTTAAGTTTAAATGATTTTTTTGCAAATAATCTCTTAAATTTCCCTCTTGAACGTAAGGTAAAACTATTGCATAATTTCCATTATCTGGGAATTTAGTTATACCATAACACTGAACAATTGATGGGGATTTAATTTTACAATAATTCACTGCCTGAGAATAAATAAGATCAATTAGTATTATATTATACATTATTGTTTTAAATAACAACCACCAACCTCATCAAAAAAGCCTTTTCCTGGATTACTTGAATTATTTAAACTTTTTAATACTACATATTGTGCTCCTAAATAACTAAATTCCTTTTTATTTTCATCATAATCAACAATACTTCCTCTTGTCCATGTAGCAATATAAATTGAACTAAATCCACCTTCAGTCAATTTTGTCACTTCTTTAAATTGTTCGAAAGGTATCCATTCTAAAATATAGTATGGCAGAGATGATTTCATTTGACATTGTTGAATAAAATCATCAATTATATTATTTCCAGATATCAAAGTGGTGCTCTGTAATCGTAATCTAATGCAACCTTCACAGAATCTATCAGAGTATCTTGTCAATTGACACTTGTTACATTCTTTTGATTGGCCCAATTTATCTCTTGCATTTTGTAATTCAAAATGATAAATAAACCTTTTCTTACAAAATTCTTTTTCATTTTCAGAAAGTTCCTTGTTTTTTTTGACTAACAAAAAAAAATAATCTTTTCTACTTTCTCTATCAGAATTAACCACTGCATTATTATGCATTTCACCATAAATTTTAAATACAAATTCCTTTCTTTCTAGTGATAATGATGATAATCGGTTAACATATGACATTATATAATATAAAAATATAAAATTTGACTTGGTGTTTTAATGAATAACGGAGATTTGTTTTTGGGAATAACAGTTATTAACATATTTAACATATTTAACATATTTTAACATATTTTATTTAACGTATATAGAGAAGAAAAGGTTGTCGTGTTACGGTGCCTTACCAAATGTTAATTTCTGTGTAGGTTTTTATATTTTGCGTAATATTTCTTTTTTGTTTTCCCTAAATCTAACGACTTTACCCAATTTTGAAATGTTTGGTTGCACGGGAAATAATTCGTTGTAAAGAAGATTCGTGTAGATAATTTCAGTTCAGTTACGGTACGAATCAACGCGAATCTTCTAAACATCCTGTTTCTCAACTGAATTTTTGTGGAAGGATGAGAGTCGTTTTTTTTCTTTGCTGCGTGGCTTGAAATTTGTTAATTAACAAGATTTTAAGTTAAACATCGCGACGAAACATGCACGAATTTATTTGTAAGTATTTTAATATTAATATTAATATTAAAACAAAAACAGGACAAAACGACGAATTTTTTTCTTCTCAGGAGCAGTAAACGTCAATTAACTAAATATTAATATTAAATAGCTTGTTTGTTAAACCTTTTTTTTTTAATATATATTACAAAAAAATAATAATACAAATGCAGTGGCAAGTAGAAAAGATTGATTTGTTCCTCATAACATGATAAATTAATTTTTTTTTACCGCTTTATCAAATTTGCAACCCTTCAGTATTAGCCTTTCCCAATCTTTTATATTCTTCTAACACTGCTTTAGAAACCTTTAATTGAGCAGAGTCAAAACTGAAAATATGCAAGTTTTTTAACGAAGGAGCTCAGCTCATTGCAATATATATTTGTCCTTCAGCAAATATGTTCTTCATCAACATTCAACAACGTGATTGGGCTTGCTTTATATATGGCCCAAATTGCCAGCAATTTGATTCAATTTTTTGGCTTCCACTAATTACACTATCAGTGGAAGAGATGGTCTTAATGAAGCACAATGGATGATATGTTTTTTTTTAAACGAAAGAATATTATGAATTTGGTCAATTAATATTCCTTCATTTTTATTCATTTTTATTACTCGAATTTAGATGGCATTTCTTAAACTAAAGTTTAATTCTATTTTAAGAAATTTATTTTTATAAATTAATTAAAATGTTGAAAACATTTAACGGTGGCTTTAATTAAACATAAGTTTATCTACTATTATATAAATCAAAGGGACGGAAAGGATGCAATTCATAGTCGGCTTAAGCTTTTTTTATTGGTTCGACATCTTTTCTTTCTTTTATTATAAATAGAACTTTCATCCGTTAAAAAAAATTTTGGCAGCACTTAACTTGACTTAACGTTAACATTAACGTAAATGATGACATTGACATTGACATTGATGTTGATGTTGACGTTAACTACTCTATACAGTGTGGATCATCTATACTCAAAAGTTAAAATTTTTGAAATATTATGTGATCCACACATTGGATTTTAAAAAACCCACCACCATTCAATTCAGCTTTAAAAAGGGAGTCTATTAATTATTAATAACTATATTTATTACAAATATATAATTACAAATAATTTTTATTAGATATCATATTAATAACTATTGATTTATTACAAAAATATAATTACAAAATATATAATTTTATTAGATATCATGTTAATAAATATTTATTAGATATCATATTAATAACTATTGATTTATTACAAATAATTTTATTAGATATCACATTAATAAATATTGATTTATTACAAATATATATATAATTATAATATTAATAAATGATTTATTACAAATATATAATTACAAATAATTTTACCAATATTTAACTCCATTTTTAGCATTGTAAGCATTCTGCTAATAATTTCTTCGTCTATATTTAGATTTTCAATTGATTCTTGATCATTACTACTTTCATCATTTTCATTGTTATTTTCACATTCATTTTCTAATTCATCTACCATTAATATATCTTCACCTTTTTCTAACCTTTTTAGATAAGAATTAACATTATCAA